GCAACAAGCTTCTGCCTTAGTATATTCTTAGGTTTAAAATGTGCATGTATATTGTGTTGGTTGAAAATCCTCCTGAACTTTTTAGATATTCCTGCAATATATGGAATGACAAAGGTTGCTTCATTTGTTGTTCTCTTCTTTGTCTGTTTTGGAGGAGCTCCTGCTGGGCCTTTTTCTGGATTTTATGAAGGTCCAGTTGATATAGTCACACATTCTTAGGGCTTCCTTGATGTGTTTTAGTTTTGTTTTACTTTTCCCTCTTTGCTGGTAGTCAAACCTTCAGCCCACTCAAGACACTGCTATGTATAAGACTCCAAAGAGAGATCTTACCAGCAGTTATAAAAAAAAAGGTCACCAATTTCCTGCAACACCTACTGAAGGTCAATGCCATTCACAAGGCACAATACTTGTAACATTGCAACACTGTCATTACATATATTGCAGGAATATCTGAAAAATTCAGGAGGATTTTCAACTAACGTGCACTTTAAACCCAAGAATACACTAAGACAGAAGCTTGTCCACCCCAATGATAAAATACCCAGACACAAACTGAGTAATGTAATTTATGCAGTACAATGTACTGAGATATGTGCAGATTTGTACATTGGAGAAACAAAACAACCACTTCACAAATGCATGGCACAACGTAGGAGAACAAACCCATCAGGACAATTTTCAGCATTTACATTTGAAAGATCAAGGTGATTCTTTTGAAGACAGCAAAGTCCAACTCTGGGTAGAGAAGACCACTGGTTTGAAAGAGGGATAAAAGAGGCGATTTATGTTAAAATTGAACAGCCCTCTTTCAATAGAGGGGGATGAATAGAACACCACCTACTGTATCTGTTTACGACACAGTCCTTTCAGCAGTTCCAAGAAGGTATTTTATTCTTGTGGCATATAAAATAAGTTCTGATAAAAAGTATTACATGCCCCTATTTCTACACAGTAAAAGTTGCCAGAAAATTTATTCCCTTTGAAAAAAAAAAGACAGATATTTTTATTCTTTCTTAAAATCAGGCTTCTCAGAAGAACTTTGGTATTGCACTGATGTTTCATAATTATATGATCAGTGAAAAAAGCATTAAAGGCTGTGAACGTGGATGGTGGAAAATTAATGAGCTAATGTAAGTGTGTTCATATATTGTAAATCGTTTAATGGTGCAGGAATAAATGAAAAGCATTGCATATGAAATAATACACTTATGAGTTTTTAATGTTACAGTTATAGAAACATAGTTTGACAGATAAGGAAGGGTCAGTATGGTTGTCTCTTTGTGATAATTTAGAGAGTTTTTAAATTATCACTGCAATGTACAAGTTGTTTCCTTGCAGTTCGTGTGTGTGTGTGTGTGTGTGTGTGTGTGTATCCTTTAGCATATTGTATCAATACTCCATAAAATTCAGGAGGCATAAAGAATATAACTAAAGATGTGTACATTTGTATGGAGAAATTTAAATTAGTCTTATCAGTCCTTAGAAGCATGTTTTACTGTAAAACAAAGGAACTATTGTGTATTAAAACTGATAATTAATATGATTTAATTATTTGTCCATCAAGCAAAGCATTATTAGTCCCAACAGATAAGCTAAGTAAGACATGTATAAAACACAAAAACACGTTGGGAAAATGCTAGGTGAAAGATAAGAATTTGATCCTTATCATTTTTCTCATCCATACATTAAGACGGGAGGAAAACAAAAGAAAGTGGGTGCAAACTTGGAGTGGAATAGAATCAAAACCTGTCTTCAGTTAGGGAAATACAGAAGAAAGTACTTAATGGTGATCGCAAAGGAGAATCATGGAAACCTTTAGGGAATAAAATAGAGCATTGCATAGAGATAATCTACTGCTAGGTGAAGCTTTTGGCATGTAGACTTAGAAATGTGGTAATGCAAAATTATACTGTAACTATATTATACTATTCACCTCTTTGCAAGA